GATACCCTGATCCGCAATGGATTCCAGGTCACCATTCTTGAGGCCAGAGAGAGGATTGGGGGTCGAGTAAGCATCGTACTTGTAAACTTTGCTGTTGTTTTACTAAGTATAGCAGGTGTTTCAACAGGAGATAGGTGGCCATGAAGTGGACATGTGAGTTGTTTTGTCCTGATATCAAGGTGTCATATGCTGACTAGGAAGGGGCGCCAACTGGATTCACGGCACGAGGAATAACCCTATTGCACTCCTTGCCTCCATGACTGACGCGGATCTTGTCCCCGACGAACCCGACGCTATATTTTTCGATTCTGTGGGTGAGCGAATACCTGCGAATAAGGCAGACCAATGCGCCGAACTTGTCGCGGATGCTTTTGACAAAGCCATCCAACACAGTAAAAACCTCTCGTCATCCATCGACCCTCAGAGAAACGTTTTAGACTATGTGCTAGAGATAGTGAGACGATCGCCTCTCGATGCCGAGTCCAAGATTATCTGTGAACAAATGATACACATGTACAACTCGGAGATTGGAGATTGCATTGAATCTCAGAGCCTGAAATACTTTCATCTCGAAGATGGTATGAATGGCCATGATGCTTTCGTCGCGTCGACGTACAAGAATATTATTCAGCTCATTAGCAAAACTGCGAGAAGTGCTGATGCCATACAACTTGGCCAAGAGGTCGTCAAGGTGCAAAACTTCTCCCGCAACTCAGATAACAAAGCCGTTGCCGTTGAATTGGCAGGTGGCCAAGTCAAGACTTTCGATGAAGTCGTCATTACATGCCCTCTCGGCTGGCTGAAACAACACAAGTCTGCGTTCAAGCCTTCCCTGCCCCTCCGACTCGAACAAGCAATCGATAGCATCGGATATGGTGCTCTTGAAAAGGTCTTTGTTTCATTTCCTGCCGCCTTCTGGCAGAAAGCAAATGACAGAGGCGGTGTCGCTTCCTCCACCCTCGTTTCGAGAGAAGAAGCTTCGAGGTTTATATTCTGGCACTTCTTGAGCCCATCGTACCACCCACTCACGAAGCATCTGGGCTCATGGACGCAGGAGTTTGTCGCCCTTTCCGGGCTTCCGGATACTCACGCTCATCCAACTTTGGTCTTTTACGTGGCTCCTCCCTGCTCTCGTCATCTCATGCCGTCTTTTGCAGGCCTCGTCCCCCACTCGGACGCATACAACGACATTCTTCGTTCTTTTACGGAACCATTTTACTCTCGCATGCCAAACTATGATGCTGCTAGCCCTGCTTGTCGCCCGACTTTATTTCTTGGCAGTCAGTGGCAGAATGACCCCTTTGCAGGATATGGAAGCTACGTGAGCTTTCAAGTTGGGCTGGAGAGAGCGGGTGAAGACCTGAAGATCCTGCGCTCCGGTGGAGGGAGGGGAGCAACGGGCGGCAACCTGATGGGTAATGACCGCGGTGTATGGTTCGCTGGAGAACATACCGCTCCGCTGTGTGGCCTTGGAACGACGACGGGAGCTTGGTGGAGTGGTGAAAGAGCAGCAAGAGACGTCCTCGAGGTTTACGGCATGAAGAAGGACATGAACAAGGATGGAATCGGACCCGTGATATCATAGAGCCGCATCGATACGTAGTGGAAAGTAGGGAGTCGTGTGACTCTGGATCAAGGGGAGCTTGAGAATGCTCAAAGCATGGTCGTTATACGTCTGCTGCCCGCAAACTACCGCTATTTTTCCAATGATGACAAAGATTCTGATCCATGAACAAGTCAAGGTGAATACAAATGGTTAAAGATTGTTTGGACTGCTTATTTGAATCGCCGGAAAAAACCATAGGGTAGCACATAATTACCAGAATATGTACCTTGCGGGCCACGACCACAGTACCAGCCCCCTACATTGATGCCCTCTGGAACTGCCAATATAGTTATTAAGAATCTTTTTATAAATACAAGCAGTGACCAGACTCTAGGTATGTAGAATATTAACACAAGACATTATATTAAAGCGCTACAAGGACATACTGACTGGATACGGTCGGTTTGCACATCTACCGACGGGCGATGCGTTTTATCCCTAGGCAATGGCCAGACAGCCCTTTTACGAGACATATCAGGCTCAAATTCTAGGAATGCACTAACCATAACGGGCCATAATCACAGCATCAATTGCTGCGCTCTTGTTCCCCCTACCTCGTATCTAGTACATCTGGCGGTAACGGCAAGGTTAAAGGCGCCACCGCCCGCTACCAGCGCAGCGGAATTCATCGCAACTGGCTCTCGGGAAAACACTATTAACCTTTGGAATACTCGTGGTAGCCGTCTTATAATGCTAATTTGTCACGAAAAATGGGTGATTGCAGTCGTGTTTCACCCTGGGGTCAGCTATCTTATTTCAGCAGCCGACGTAAAAACACTACGCTGCTGGGACTTGGGCCAAGAGGAAATTTGCATAAAGGTGTTGGAAAGCGTTCATGAACAGTTCGTCACTTGTCGTACATCTCAAAAAAGCTAGTTTAGCTCAGGGGACTAAAATTGCCAAGCGGCCAGGGAGCTGGCTATAATGACGGGCGTTGCCTGGGCAGATACGATGTCGTTTCTGGAAGTCCTCCAGGTCGGAAAGCGTTCACCTGTTTTGTCAAACATGTCCAGCTGGGTGGAAGAGCGCGGCTGAAGAGAAACGAGAGAAAAGGACGCCGTAGGGCTAGAAACAAGTATCATTCCTGCGTAGTCGACCATGTCAGCCTCGTGTTGCGCATGGCATTAGAGTTGGTGGCTGGAAAGCAGACAGCCACTCAGGCTACAGTATTTTGATAGTCAGGTTACACCTGAGTGAGTAGCAGGCCAGAGGACTGTACGAACAAAAGTCCTCATTGGCATGTCTTAATCTGGTTGTCGGTATGCGGCGACACCGATCACGTTTACTACACGCATACGCACAAATAGGACAGCCGTAACGCCTTCTCAGGGTTAGTATGTGTTTTTAGATACGATGGCTGTCTACATGCAGGAACCGAGACCCAAAGGCGTTAAACAGTGAGACTGAATAGCGTCAGCCACATAAAAAGTATAAAATGGTACCAGCAACTTTTAATCCAGCCAAAAGGGAAAACTATTCATCCAACTACAAAGCACCTCTACCAAGGATACTTTCGAGGTTTTCTTGCATATTCACGGACTTTCTGGGCAGGTTCTCTTGGTCCCAAAATGTGTATCGAGTCTGGACTGGGGCAAGCAGCGGCACCTCCGGTAGATCAAACACCACACTTAACCTGTGGCTTTTGCCTGTTAGAGCACACTTATGCGGCACTTATTGTGGAAACTCGGCCGGTTGTCCGCCGAGATTGGAAAACGTGGCGGACTATTGGTCGAAGCTGGAATATGTTACGCCCACGGAGGAAGGCAGCAGCCTTCGCCACCGGCCGGCTCATCTGTCGCCGAAAGATCGAAGCCACTTCAAATCCGGGGTCCTTGGACTCCGCGTTGTCCAAGATACGTACCCTTGGCCTTTTTGAGATGCCGCAAACCTGGCGTTGCGGGTTTCTTGCGATTTGGTTACCAGTAGAATGGGGCTGGCAAGTCGAGAATCCAGGCGTCTCTAACCTGAGTGCCACCACGAGGTCGGACCGTGAACTGTCCAAATGGCTAGATCTAGACCCCTATGGGCTTTTGGATATGATGGTACGCATATAGTCCTGTAAATATACCCAGATGTATAAAAGCCTCTTGAACGTCAAGATGTTTTAGCCCGAGTCCTATTCTCTCCAGCAGTGCCTCATCAAGAACATCCAAGCCCGTGTCTTACTTATCATTACTACACCTTCATTCAGCCCTGACCGCTTCGGTACAATCATTCATCATGCAGATCAAGCCAGCTCTCGTCGCGCTCCTCTCCGCCTCCCTTATCGACTTTGGAGCTGCCGCCTACTGTAACACGAGCCAACTCATCCATATGGATGTAATAGGCACCTGTGACTGCAGCCCAGAACCCAAAGGCTGCTCTACACCGTGTACCGGGTGCGGAGTCACACCCACAAAGAACATACGCAACTGCAATGGAGGCTGCGAGGATAGCGAATCCGACTGCGCCGCATGCGGCATCTGGTTCCATACTCTCTGCAACTGCCTGCAACACCCACTCAATTGCCCGAATAGCGGCACGATACAGAAATACGGCGCGCCGGTGTGGGTGCTGCTGGAAACGCCGCCGGGGGATCACAATCTCGTCACGACGACGCAATTCCTCCCCGGCATTCGCCAAATGAATGCCGGGCACGACGAAGCCTGGCTCTTCGCCCAGCAAAAGTTCGACAAGACGTCCGAGGCTCTCGCCATGAACCCGGTCGTAGTGAGAACCATGGAGCAAGTCCATATCCATCTTTGCCCGCGTAACACAACCACGGCCGGCATGCTCGGCAAGATAACCGCCTTTAGCTCCTCGAAGCTGGTGCAGCTGGCAGACGACAAGGAAATGTACTGCCTCGGGATCGACCATAGTGTCGATGTTAAAGGGTTCGCTGGCCTTGTGGCTGATTTTATAAACAACCCGCCGCCAAATGTGTGCAAAGACATGGTTGGCGCGGCCATTATCGAGGACGACAAGAGTCGAAGATGGGCGTGTGCCACTACGAACCGTCACGGACCTTTGGCTAAAGTGTGCTTTCATTAACTAAGAATGGATAGAAAGAAAAGTCAATTGCAAGTTGAATGTATAGACCAAATCTGAGCGGCATTGGGTTGCTACGTGATGATGATGGTGATGAACTGTAAACATGTTCCCTCACAGTTAACATGAAGATTGGAATCGAATTTTCGGCACAGAATATCCTCTGGAGTTGAAGTTGGGAGGTTTGCCATGGCACAACTCCAGGACTTGACGTTCAAAGATGCTGAAGCCTACGCTAACACATCCATCCATGTCTAAAAGACCCCGTTTAATGACTGAGATTTCGACTGATGGCTAGTGAATACCTTGCATTGTCGTTACAATTTGCCAAACTAGTGTGGAAATGGTCGCGGTCGTATGATGTGCCATGGGCGGCGCTGGAGGCGCTGGCTCCAACGACCGGATCGCCCTAGACGGGACTGGCAAGTCTCGGGGCGTCTTTTCCGGTACTTTAATATGGAGCGCAGACAGAAATTACTGCGGTGGTGGAACTGGTGCTTGCACGCTCAACTATCATCTCAGGGTGCAGCAAATGTCTACGGCCGACCATGTCCATCAAAGCTCGACCAATACAACCAGGGCTCTCTTAAACAGGCCGTCCGCTGACAACTCAACTACTCTGATCGAACGGCACAAAATCAGCAGTGGATATATGCGCGATGCCATCATCGGCCTTGCAGATGGCCTCACGGTACCATTTGCCCTGACGGCTGGGCTGTCCTCGTAAGCCGACCTTGCAGCCACCACGGGCGCATTCTGTCAACGAGCGACTCGCGACTGACTCTTAACAAATTTCGAACAGAATAGGCTCCTCGAAACTAGTTATTGTCGGTGGTCTTGCTGAACTATTTGCTGGCTCTATCAGCATGGGGCTTGGAGCGTACTTGGCCACCTCGACCGAGAGGAAGCATTACCAGATCGAGCTTGACCGCGAACGTCGCCAGGTCACCATGTCGGCCGATCAAGAAGAAGAGATTATGGTCAAGATATTCGAAGGCTACGGTGTTGGTAGAGAGGAGCTCCGACCGCTGGCGCGGCGGCTGAGAAGTGACGCAGATGCATGGATTCAGGTTTCATGCCCCCTTCCCCAGGATCGACACCTCATCATCAAGATTCTAACGATGCCTATACATGGTGCTAGTTCATGATGGACTTTGAGCTCCGACTAGAACGGCCGGGGCAATTGAAACCCTGGCTATCTGCGATCGTCATGGGCCTTGCGTATTTTCTCGGTGAGTGTTGGCCATCCATCCGGGCGCAGTGCCAGAAAAACGGTCCGACCTATCCCACTCATGTATTCCTGACTGTTTGATTTTTTGCCATGTCTACTTAGGAGGCCTTATTCCGATGATTCCGTACTTCGCCCTCGCGGTCAAGGCCGCCCTCTTCGTCTCCATTGGGGTCACTGCTGCCATGCTCACTCTATTCGGGTTTTTTAAGGCGACGAGCATGGGGCTAGCTCGCCGTGCAGCTGCTTTCAGCTCTGCGGAGACATTGTTGATTGGGGGTTTGGCGGCTGCGGCGAGCTACGGTATTGTCAAAGGCGTCGATTCTGCTATCCAAGTGAACCCTGGAGGCGTCTGAGAATACGAACCTTGTTACAAGTTGAAAACGTTGAATGTCTCCGGAACATGAAGTAGTAGAATCTACTGTACGAAGAAGTCAAAACCTAGAAAATGTCATTGTTATAATATACAGACACGGTTTAAACTGTTATTAGTTGTAGCGCACAGAATACTGATTTGATAACGTCGTATACACGGCACGATTGCTCGGACAGTTTTAGACAGAATGGGAGACTCTCGGTTTCCTACAAAAAGGGTGGATTTATATGAATATCTAATGCTTGCTGCAAGTAGCAGTACAACAACTGTAGGCTTGAATAAGCGACTTGATCTTGGCTCACGCCCTTAAGCCAGCGACATCTGTTCAAGAGTATTCATGTCTTATCCAATATACGGCCCAGATTCTGGATGTGCTGTTAGGAACTTTAAGCCCGCCAGTACAACTGAGAACTTGAGCTTCTTCGGATACTCTCAACTGAAAGATGGGTTGGTACCAGAGTGACCGTTCTTGGCGGTTTGGAGATAGATCAGCCGGTCTACGTTTAACTCGTGGGCAATGACAACGGGACGAGGTCAAAGTTACTACGGATAATCTCAATACGCTCGTCGGAGCTCTTATTAGGTGCCATAGGTATCAATAAAAATTGATAGCGGCTTAGCAATACTAATAGCGTAGCTAACCCTAACCCTCTACCACCGCCCGATTATACAGTTCAGCTGGACAAGTGGCGTAGGATGTGAGCCACCAAATTACGGAGGGTGTTGGGAAAAGTGGAAAAAGTTCTTTCTCAGGACGGATAGTGGCGTGATACCACAAGAAGTCCATATTGTGGCGTCTACGTATGCATGATGGTTAGAGCCGTTATGAGAGTAGTGGAACGGATTGGACTGTACGACGAGAAATACACAGTTACTACGTTTCAATGCAAAACTATCTCTATCCAAGGCCTTGCACGTGAATCTCTCAGATACTCGTTACTCGTTCACCGCAATCAACTACCTGGAGACTTAACCCAGTTGGACATTCTAGATCGGGGCTGAGTTGTACCGAGACTTGCTATTAGATCTGGCTGGTTGCCAGGAAAGACTAGCAGAGACGACAGAGAATACTGAGCTCTTTGTATACATCGCATGTGTCAAGTTCTACTCTGACCGTTATAAAGGCCGAATAGTTGAAAGATGTATTCCCATATATCATTCTAATGCAGATAATTTGTCAGCGGCTGCCTAACATGATGATGCAGTGAGAGTGCAAAATTTGAGAAATATTTCTACGTAATTAGTATGTTACCTATTCTCGAGTCGTAATAGCTCACATATACTAAGCTAATCAGGCTACAGAGGCACAAGGCTCTGCTTGGTGATGAAGAGCAAGTTTAATGTAATATTCTAGCCCAATGCGCATAACTGGCTTCTCAACTGCAGTACTTATTTTAGTTTTCATCTAGAAGTATAGACAACCTATCGTCCCATGATATCCCTGGACAACATCAAATCAGACACATCAGATAACTTGCTAAGTAAGCGGAACCACCATGACTGCAACTTTGACGAGCCCTGCTCTATATAATTCCACGGCTTCGTTGGCAGTGAGTACCAGCGCTGAGTGAGAGTGGTGGCCATCAGGCGTTGCTGCCTTGGCATCGTAAACCAGGTCCTTCGACTGAATATAATTAATACAAGTGCCAGCACCAAAGTCTTTTGCAACACTCACCCACAGCAAAGTTACGCAAACCCATAGCCTTAGCATACTGGGTTGCCAACGATCCTAGGCCGCCTCCGGCCCCAATTATAGCAATAAATTCGGCCGGATGTGCTACGGACTCCTTGAGACCTTTGTATACCGTGTGGTCTGCATAGATAATTGGTGCAATGGCGGTGAGATCGCAGTCCTTTGGAGCTTTTGTGAAGTGTATCGCTTCCCCGTGGCATACTGCTGAAAAGTGCCATCGCCAGTGTACCCAGAGAGCAAGGCTTTCGGGCATAGAGGCTCAGCGCCATTTCAACAGTATGAGCAGGATAGATAAGACCCGGTAAGCCATTCTGCACGACTCACCATTGCTGCTCCCATTATCAACCTGGGCCATTATTCGGCCGGCACTTGAAATTTGCTTATAGTGTTATTACTTTGGGGATACTGCGATGATTGCACTCGCGAATCTGTGTTTACCCCTATGTATTTAATAAGGCTGTGGATAATGATAATAAAGTAGATGATAGTAGCCGTAGTCTGCGCGTTGATAAAGAGGGTGCGCTTGAAGCCCCCTATTTTACCGCATCTATAACACATTTGGGTACTAGTAGGATAAAAATAACCATACGATGCTAACCTTGCGGTGACTGTAATCGAAGCATGGAAGCAATTAACGTACTACACCGGGATGGTAATAGAATTTGTGGCATGAAAGCCACGGCCTTATTATCATATGATGATAGAATTCGTGACGTGGAAACAAACCGACCCATGTCGCGTCAAAATGGTGGCTTGAAGCTTCGTGGTCCCCGCCATTGACGTTTCGGCGTCCAACCAAGGTTCGAGATTTTCTGACTATTGGATGTAGACATCAGCAAGCCTCGTACGTATTTCCAAGGTTAAACCAATGCACACCCGATGTTCATCCCGTTTGTGGTGGGAGGATGTCCCCTGATCGTGTCCTTTGCCACCAGAACGCTCGACGCTGGTTTCAATAGCCATTTGATTACCAGCCTATCCCATCATCTCATTTTGATAAAGAAAAGAAATTAAGATTCATCGCCAGCATCGTTTTCTAAAACCATTTCGATCAGGGCAGGCATCTGGTGTATTGCGCATTTGAGGATATCCCGCGTGTGCGTGTCATAGCAATACCCCATTCTAAAAACATCCTTTGGAAACATTAAATCGAGGTGTATCAAGCTGGCTCAGTACAAATAGTCAAGCTTGCCTAAACCGAAAATTCAGTCATTCATCATGGCCAATTTCACCGTTGGCGACTACATTGCCCAAAGGCTCGCTCAAATAGGGATACGCCATCATTTCCTAGTACCCGGCGGCGATAACCTCGCTCTGCTGGACCGGCTCGGCGCGCACCCATCACTCACCGGCGTCGGGTGCACAAACGAGCTGAACTGCTCTCTAGCCGCCGAGGGATACGCCAGAGCCAACGGCATCGCAGTCTGCGTCGTCACCTACAGCGTAGGGGCCTTTTCTGCCTTCAACGGCATCGGCAGCGCCTACGCTGAGAATCTTCCCGTCATCCTCATCAGCGGAGCACCGAATACGCATGACAAAGACCAGCATTTGCTTCACCACACCCTCGGGGAGCACGATTTCACGTACCAGCTAGAAATGGCCAAGAAGATTACATGCTGCGCCGTATCGATCCGTAATGCCAAATCAGCTCCCGAGTTGGTTGACCGTGTTGTATGGAATTGTATCCGGCAGCAAAAACCCGGGTACATTGAGCTGCCTACCAACCTGTCCACCGAGATGTGCGTGCAACCCGGACCGATAAGTGGTCTCGATGCCGGGGATCGGCACGTTGGGTCTGTCCTTGCCGCTGCGGTTACTAGCGTTAGGGAATATCTTGAAACGCGGCAGAAGCCAGTGATTCTCGCCGGGCCAAAGATACGAAGTTGCAAAGCCCAGGAAAGCCTCGTCCGCCTGGCAGAAGCCATTGGGTGCGCGGTCGTGGTTCAGCCAGCGGGCAAGGGACTATTCCCCGAGAGACACCCCCAATTTGCCGGAGTTTTCTGGGGCCAAGTGAGCACCCTTGCTGCCGACAGCATCGTCAACTGGTCTGATGGTCTGATATGCGTGGGAACCCTGTTCACAGACTATAGCACGGTCGGCTGGACGGCCGTGTCCAACGTGCCGCAGGTAGTCATCGACGCGGATGCCGTGACATGTGTGACGACTTGCTTCACCGGCGTCGCCATGTGCGACTTGCTGGTAGGCTTGGCAGATACAGTCGCCTGGAACGACAGCTCAATGACGGAGTACGCTCGGCTGCGGCCGGAAATTCCACTCCAGCGCCACGGAGCCTACGGGGAGCTCACGAGAAAGGAGGTTGCCCGACGGGTGCAGCTGCTCCTCGGGCCGGATATGACGGTTTTCGCGGATGCAGGAGATTCGTGGTTCAACGGCATTCAACTGCAACTTCCGCCTGGGGCGGGATTCGAAATCGAAATGCAATGGGGCCATATTGGATGGTCGATCCCGGCGTCGTTTGGCTACGCGCTTGCAAAGCCTGAAAGGAGGATTATCGTCCTGATTGGAGACGGGGCCTTGCAGGTGACGGCTCAAGAGATGTCTCAGATGGTGAGACACCGCCTACCTATTATTCTGGTGCTGATGAACAATAAAGGATACACGATCGAGGCGGAGATGCACGCCGGGGTGTACAATCGGATTTATAATTGGAACTACGTTCTCCTCATGCAGGCGTTCAACTTTTCTGACACGGGAGGGCGTGCGCTTGGCCTGAAAGCAGATACGGTCGAGGAGTTTTCTGAAGCCATTGAATTGGCGCAGGCACACATGGATGGACCAAGTCTCATCGAATGCAGCATCGACCAGGAGGACTGCAGCAAAGAGCTGATTACATGGGGGCATTATGTTGCGGCTGCCAACAATCGTTCTGGAATGGCCATCGATACGTAAGCGTATTGTGAATGCTTGGCACTGGGATGGGAACATTTGGGTTCAAACATCAATTTCATACTCAGCTTTGAGGATCAAAGGTCCCTGATTCTCCGAGAGTCCTTGAGTGTCAGAGGTGTCTATGAGTACAACAAGCCGGTGAGCCCGAGAGGCCCGAGGCAACCTTCGCCAATGTCCGTCCCGTGATACCTTTCTTTGTTGTTGTGTAACCTTTGTCCTCCGATACCTTTGTCCAGGTCCTTCCGCCGTGTGACACTCACGAGGCGCATGTCGCCCAAGGTGTCCAACCCCCCGACCGCGCAGCCTCACCTTTGATTCACATGGATTTTCTCAGGAGCATGAATGAAAAAAAAAAAAAAAAGCTTGTGATTACGTTC